CTAAACGCTAGCTAAGCAACTTTTGCTTTATTTTTTAGTCTTTCTTCTTCAAGAAGTTTTTTTTCAAATGAAAATTGCTTAAGGTTTAATAAAATTTGCATAGATTATTTTAGGTACGAACTCATGTTTTTTATTGTTTGATCAAATACAATCTTTACGTACCATAGTGATGATGCTAAAATGTAGATCACCTAGGGTAGTGTAGAAAATGAGCTGGGAGAGCAAAGCGGATCAGTAGCTTGACAACTTGATGATCCTGAGGTTCCTGCGAAATGAGCACACGTCAACTAAGCCGGGGGTTGATCCGGCAGAAACCCCTCCGACGCTCAAGTCAGATGTACGGATCGTAAAGATAGTAGAGAGAATAAAACTCTGGATCAATTGTGGATAATTAGAACATACCTTTACAAATGAGTGAAACATCTATTTATATGTCGTTGATTGGGTTGAGTTTACTTTGTTGGGCCCAAGCCTTACTTTGAAGGTGCTTGGGCTTTCGTGTAGTGGGCCCAATTGTAAGTGATTGGAATTTTCGTGTATTTGGCCTAATTATTAAATAAATTAGGGCCCATTGGGTATGCCCAATTAGGTATATCATTAAGCCCCCCAACTCTCGAGTCGAGATGGGAGACATGCTTAGGGGAATCCGGCTCGTGTCGAGAGTTAATTGTGTCGTGGCTTGAATAGTTTCCGTTGGCATTGAATTGATCTCCTTAATTTAAATAAGGGATAATTATATTTATTTGGCAGCGAGGTATATATTTAAGGGTTTTAAATAATATACCAGGGCCAAATAGATAGACTCCTTCTGCGGTGGAAAAAATTACTCTTCAACTCTTGCGGAATAAATATGGGTATGTATTTTTAAATTTAGGTCTTTTTCTGTGCGCTTCTTCTTTTATTCTATAGCGGTAGAGTAGAAAAAAAAAATTTGTTTCTTGGGAGAAAATTATTTCTCATGTCGAATCCGGGTAAGTCGAAATCTTTGCGTATTAAACTTCGAAATCCGGTTGAGGGGGCGAGAAAACTTTTGGTACGGTGGGTATGGAACGCGAGAAGCTTGTAATACCGGGTGAAAAAATCGGAGCTACTGTAGGTGGTGTACGGATCGAGGGGAGAAACATGGTTAATCGTGGCTTGGCTGAGGGGAGTGGCTTGAGCCGTGCATCCCCATGTATTGTTATGGGAGAGGGCGCGCGCTTCGAGGGTGCAGCGAAGCCGAGTCGAGCCCAGGAGTTGGAGCCGTGCACGTTTGCCGAGGAGAGGAGAGAGAGAGGGAGATGCCATGGTGGACCATTGGCTGGCGGACACGTGCGCGCGTCCAGTGCGTCGAATGGGGGACGCGCGCGCGCGTCGATGACAGGATGGGGGAGGGTTAATGGCGCGTCGGTCGTGAGGGCACGAGCACCGCGGGAGTGGGGC